GATTGTTTAATAGGTAGGAAGGAAAAGGGGAAGGAAGGGGGAGTGGTAGTCGCGTTGACATTAGATCCGATTCGCGGTGTTAAACGCGCGAGGAAGGAGTGGAAGATGTTAATTTAGCTTCCTTAATTAATTTCTAACGAATTACATTGATAAATTTCCGTGTGAAGAGGAATTGATAAGTCAAGAATTTAATCCAATTACATCAAAAGACATCCCCCTTCACTCTAATACCGCGTATTCGACTTGTCGTTATATATAAATAATTTCCGTTTGCGTTACAAAGTTCCCTTTCCCCTCTTCGCAAAGTTTCTTCCTTCCTTCCTTTGTCAACAAAAACCCACTCGAAACCAACCACCGTCGACGACATTAACATTCCTGAAAACGAGGAATAATAAACACACCTGCTTCCAACTTCTCCTCTCTTAATTCTTTTCGAATTTTGAACTTATTGATGAGTCTAATATTCCAAATCCTAAAATTAAGACGATATATAAGATTCCAATACGATTAGTTAATACGAATCATTTTGAGGATTAAAAGTTTAAATTTATTTTAAAATTTTAAGTAAACAAGCATCAAATAAATCTTCACACAGAACAAATTGTAAATTTTTAATTTTTCTAATACCAACGATATATGTAAAATTTAAAAATTAATTATTATTTAATTATTTATTATAACATGTTCTATCCAATATAATAAAAATATAATTCCTATCAAATGACGATTTGTAAATGATGAAAAGAAGAAGAAAAAATTTCGAAAAAGAAAAAAACAAAACGAAAGAAACATTAAAAACACGAATTCTCAAATTTTTATTATTTCTCTCCATCCCGCTCCACCCGTCAATTTTTCTCTTCTTCGACTTGAATCGAATCGAATCGATTCGAAATAACTCGAATCGAATCGAATCAAAGGATTGGAAACGTGTTTCGTGGAATCGATTCACCGATCGAGAATTTGGTTTTCAGAGAAGCCACCGAAGCGCGGCACGATGAAAACCCAGGCGACTCAGACCGAGATCCCTGCCGTGTTCCGTGCCCGTGTGCCCGTCACCCTCAGCCCGAGGACGATACACCGCGTGAAGATGGTCTCGCAGGGGGCGCAGACCAACGGCCTGTTCAACGGCAGGAAGTTGACCAAGAGTTACTCGGAGGCAGGCCAGCTGGGCACGCCTTTGGGTCAAGCAGGTGTTGCGGGGAAGGACGGCGAGGAGCACCACGAGCCCCTTCACAGGACGCAGAGCGAGGAACCACCGAGGTCGCCCTTCCTCGTCGACACGCCACCCCCCCAGGGACACATCGTGGAGGAGCCGTTGACCAACGGGGACCTTTCGGAACCTATCATGACCGTCGTGAGTGTCGAATAATATTATTTATGTATTTCGTGCTTTTAAATTTAAATTTCCATCTCCTCGAAACAACTGTTGCGTGGATTTCGTGGATCGGAGGGATCATTGCGCGAATTTTGGAGCGTTTTGCGAATTTTTGGAAGATTGGAAAAATTTCAGTTCTCATTGGGGTTGAAAATTTTGATAGAATTATTTTTCGATGAAATGAATGATACGAGTGTTTGGAATATATCGAATGTACGAGTGAATGGTGATCTTGAAATTCATGATGAAACGTAATTTACGAATTTCTTCAATGATACGTGTTACACGGAACAATTATTAAGCCGCAATTCTCGTGTACAGATTGACTTTAAACGATTCGCTTGAAATTTGCACAATGCACTTCTGGTTTTAATGAATAAACTTTGGAGAGTGGAAATGTCCGAAGCGGGCGATACAGTAGTCATCCACTTACCAACAGCTATAGCGAGGTTGATTTATAATGTCAACTCATTTCCCTTTATCACCGTGCGCCAACCAGTTACACAGATTTTCGAAGTAAATTACGAGAAGAACTTTATCTGTTATGTGTTACATAATATTTCACTTGGGAGGTAAATTTTTGATAGGGGGACGCATCAGAATTTTGCAAAATTTCTAAAAAACTAAAAGATTCAGTTTAAAATATGTATATTTAGAAGAGTAGTTGATTGAGGAATCAACAATTTCTAATCAGTAATTATTATCTGTATTATTCATCGTGTAAATTATTTATTTATTTAGCATGATTTAATCGTTAATCTCGTGGTGATAATTGGAGAATACGATTCGTAAAATTCGAATGGTTAATTAGCATAATTAAATCGTGTTCTAAATTTAATATTGATATTCCCTTTCTAAAGTGAAATCATTTTTCAACGAATAATACGGATCTCAACGGTTACCAAGGAATTTACTTAATCTGTTGAATCGTTGAATCCCACGAGAGATTTCGTCATACGTGAAGTAATATCCGTGGTGGAAGGGAGAAAGAGGATTTAGAGGGCAAAGCGGAAAAATTAATGTGAAACGTTAAAGGGTGCTCGAGATACATTGAATTTATCCGCAAAATACGATGGAACAGGATAAAGGTATAAAAATGTGACATTGCCAATTAAAAATCACACAGCAATTTCAATTTTTTCGTTTCATTGATTAGATCTATGATTTCGAAATTTATCTCTTAAACGTACATTATTTTTATTTTTTCTCGATCCGCAATAAAATTTCTCAAAGCAAGAACGTTTTGAAAATATATATATAATCATTCATCGATATCTTTATCACATTTCTTGATCGATTTTTTTGATCAATTTTTATTTCGTCTCATTCAAACTTGCCCTGTACGTGGCAAAAATTATTAAAATTAAAATTGGAAAATTGAAATTTCATAAGGGCCAGTCGCGTGAAAATCAGTCGTCAATTAATTCTGCATTAAATTCTATTGATTTCGTAGGCCGCCACGTTTCAATTAACCAGTTAAATGCTCGGGACGCGTGACAACATGTCCTAGTGAGAAACAAATGTGGTTTGGGGATGCGGAGTGAACTGTATAACTTGATCATCTCTTGATTATTTTCATCGCCTATCCTATCACAATCTAATCGCGTTGATTATCTCTTTGTTAACCGAAACTTTCCAATTATTTTTGTAATATGCATTTTGAATGTAGATAATTTTATCACACAATTCCAAATATAATAATTAATTCCAAAAATAATAATTATTTCAAAATATATTCTATAAAATAATTCTAATTATGAGGGCTATTTTCACTCTCTCGACATACAAGGTGTTAATGTATTTGAAAAACATCGCTTTAGAGACCAAAATAAACGCGTAAGTTGGAAAAGTTGGTTGAGACTTATTCATTAAGTTATAAGCAATTTTCCGTTAGACGAAGAGACGAAGATATATAGCGAGACAGCTTTATCTTAGTTACACCGACGCGCCACGGTGCGGCGTGTCACGTCATTCTGGTGTTTACGTCTCGCTCCATCTTGAACTTAAATTATTCATAATATAAACGATTTTATTAAAAAAAAAAAAAAAAAAA